TCTATCTATCTATCTATCTATCTATCTATCTATCTATCTATCTATCTATCTATCTATCTATCTATCTATCTCAACCTAAAGCACCTGTCGGTTTCTTCTTTTTATATTTCTCCTCACCCTTCGTAAAACTGCGCCATCACTTTCTGACAGCTTTGAGATGGGGAGATGCTGAAAAAAGAGGCCATGAGGAAAGATGTCCAGCCATATCTTAGTATCAGATTAATAGGTTAACAGAGTTGGAAGGGACCTTGTAGGTCATCTAGTCCAACTGCCTGCCCAAACTGGAGATCCTATACCATTTCTGACAGATGGCAGTCCAATCTCTTCTTGAAAGCCTCCAGTGATGAAGTTCCCACAACTTCTGAAGGCAACTTCTGTTCTACGCGCTGATTGTGCTCACTGTGTCAGAAAGTTCCTCCTTATTTCTAGGTTGAATTTCTCCTTGTTCAGTTTCCATCCATTGTTCCTTTTCTGGCCTTCGGGTACTTTGGAAAATACCCTGTTTTCCTGAAAATAATACCTCCCTAGATAATAAGGTCAAGTGCTTATTTCTGGGGTCAAAATAAAATAAGATCCTGTCTTATTTTGGGGGAAACACAGTAGTTTGACCCCCTCTCCTCTCTGTGGCAGCCCCTCAAGTATTGGAAGACTGCTATCCTGTCTCCCCTGGTCCTTCTCTTCACTAGACTAGCCATGCCCGGTTCCTGCAACCATCCATTGTATGTTATATGCATCAGATTAGAAAGTGGGAGATGGTGAGTTCTAGTCCCACGTTAGGCATAAAAGCCAGCTGGGTGATCTTGGACCAATCACTCTTGGCCCAATCCGTCTCTCAGGGTTGTTGTGATGGAGAAAATAGGAGGAAGGAGTACTGAGTGTGTGTTCCCCACCTTGAATTACTTGTATAGTAATAAAGATGGAATAAACATCAATAGATTTTTTTAAATAAATGTAACATAATTTTATATAAGTAAATGTTGATTTCAAGACTTAGGAAAAAGTGTAGAGAAGAGAAACTAATGTGATTAAAGGGCTGGAGACTAAAATAGATGTAGAATGTGTGCAGGATATTGGAAGACTGTTATCCTGTCTCCCCTGGTCCTTCACTAGACTAGCCAGGCCCAGTTCCTGCAACCGTCCATTGTATGTCTTAGCCTCCAGCTCCCTAATTATCTTGGTTTCTCTTCTCTGCACTCTTTCTGCATTCTCAACATCTTTTTTATAGTGTGGGGACTAAAACTGGAGGCAGGATTCTAGGTGTGGTCTTACTTTAGTGCGTGTTTTCTTTCAGCGAAGAAGGAAACCCTCTCGAGCAGAGTCGCCGAAGGATGCCGGAGACAGTTGGAGATGCCTGGAACTACATCCCAGAGGAAATTCTCTCCCACATCTTTTGCTACTTGTCCCTGCAAGAGAGACACGTGGTTTTTCAGGTCTGCAAGAAGTGGGCTGCAGCGGTTTCAGCCGGCTGTGTCTGGAGTTACACAGAAGTCAGGTAAGAATTGGGAGTAAGGCGGGTCATGGAGTTGAAGTGGCTTAATAGGTGAAAGAGGAGGAGGAGGAGAGGTGTGGTGCAGAAGGACTTGATTGTCATAAAAGTGTTTGCACTAGAGATTAGGCTGCACGCAAAGGGCTGAACTGTGCTATGGTGACTTACTGTATTTTTCAGAGTATAAGACGCTCCGAAGTATAAGAGGCACCTAGCTTTTAGGGAGGGAAACAAGGAGAAAAAATCTGCCTCTGCCTCCCAGCAATTTGCCTCCTTGCAACAAACAGCAAACAGTACAGATGATATACACTGTTTGTAGTGTTACATTTAAGACTACGTGGCACGACAAAACCGCGCTCGACTAAANCAATAGCAGTAGACTTATATACCGCTTCATAGGCCTTTCAGGCCTCTCTAAGCGGTTTACAGAGAGTCAGCATATTGCCCCCAACAATCTGGGTCCTATGCATGCCCTTTATTTTGACAAAAAACGGTCCCGTTTTCGTGAAAAAAAGCCATTTTTGGGCAGTCTGCAGAGTGCAAAAACTTTTTTTTTTAATTTGCCTCTTCAAAATCTTGGTGCGTCATACTCTGAAAAATACAGTAGCTGTGAACCACGCGATTGTGGGACGCTTTCCCCCCCCCC